TACGTGCGCGTCAACCCGTTGGTGGCGACGACAGGATTCTCACAGCCCATCGGTGAGGCGGATTTGGCCGCGGTGGTGCGCCCCGGTCTGGCGGGCATCATTCTGCCCAAGGTGGAATCGCCCGACGACCTGCGCCGCGCCGACACCCTGCTGCAAGAGCTGGAAACGCAGCACGGCCTCGCGCCCGGCAGCGTTGACGTTATTCCCATTATCGAGACCGCCCTCGCCGTGCAGCGGGCTTACGACATCGCCGCCTCCGGCACGCGTGTCAAACGCCTCGCCTTCGGCGCCGGCGATTTCACCCGCGACATCGGTGTCGCCTGGTCGCGGCGCGAAATCGAAAGCCAGTACGCTCGCTCGGCCTTGGTCATCGCCTCCCGCGCCGCCGGCCTCGAACCGCCCCTCGACACTGTCTGGGTCGACCTGCGCGACCAACGCGGCCTCACCCACAGTGCCCGCACCGCCAAGCAACTTGGTTTCCAGGGCAAAATGGCCATCCACCCCAGCCAAGTCGAGCCGATCAATACTGTCTTCTCCCCTTCAGCCGCCGAAATCGACTTCGCCACCCGCGTCGTCGACGCCTTCAGCCAAGCCGAAGCCGACGGCCTGGCCTCCATCCAGCTCGACGGCCAGTTCATCGACTACCCCATCGTCGAATCCGCCCAGCGCGTACTGGCCATGGCGGCAGCGCTGAGCCGGTGAACTTCTCTCTACCCAGGTGTTCCCACCGGACGGGTCGCGCCCTGCCAGCAGAAACAATCGTCACACTTCACAATTGATTGACCGTGTCATTTTAGATACATTTGCTTCATGTCCTTCGTCAAGAAACTGCCTACACGGTTTTATCGCAACATCAACGGCCATGAACCTGTTCGCGAATGGCTGAAGCGCTTGGCCCAGAGCGAGCGCCAAGTCATCGGCAAGGATATTCAAAAAGTTGAGTTCGGTTGGCCGCTTGGATTGCCCGTCTGTCGCGCTCTCGGCCAAGGTCTGTGGGAAGTTCGTAGCGAATTACCATCACAGCGCACCGCCCGGGTACTCTTCTGCATCGTTGAGGGTCAGATGATCTTACTGCACGGCTTCATCAAGAAGACCCAGAAGACACCAAAGCGGGACCTCGAGCTCGCCCGAGTGCGCAAAATGGAAATCGAACGCGATCAGAAGGAAGTTGGACCATGAGCCAGAACCCCCGTGTCGGATCCTCCTTCGATGACTTTTTAGCTGAGGAGGGCCTGCTCGAAGCCTGCGAAGAACAGGCGATTAAAGAATTGCTGGCCGAGCAGATCAAGCGTGCCATGCAGGAGAAGGGCTTGACTCGAACGGCCATGGCGGCCCGCATGCAAACGAGCCGAGCGGCCCTGAACCGTTTGTTAGATCCGAGCAATTCCTCTGTTACGCTTCACACCCTTCAAAAAGCAGCGACTGTATGCGGTAAGCGCTTGCGGCTTGAACTGACCAACACGGGCGAGTAAAGCGGATGCTCCCCTCTATCGGTCAAACAGCCCTGGCTCCGAAGTGCGGTGCAGCCGCGCGGGGCTCAGGATGCTTACGTCGTTGTTGGCAACGCTGTTCACCCGGGCGCTGACGGGGCGTTTCTCGAAGGGGCCGGTGCAAGGTTCACGCACCAGATCAACGAGTTGCTCGAGCCGCAAAGTGGGATCGAGCCAATCGGCAACGTGATCGGGGTGGATGATCGCGGGTTGCCGGTGATGGATATCCGTCAGACTCTCGCAGGCTTCCGTGGTGATGATGGTGAAAGTTTCCAGACCATCGCCCGCCTTGTCCCAGCGTTCCCACAGCGCCGCGAACGACACCGGTGAGGTATCCGCCAGGGCGACAAACCACGGCTGCTTGCTACGCCCGGCGCGCTGCCACTCGAACCAGCCATTGGCCGGCACCAGACACCGGCGCGCGCGAAAGGCCGCCCGGTACGCCGGCTTGTCGCCCACCGTCTCCGCCCGTGCGTTGATCAACCGCGCCCCTATCCCGACATCCTTCGCCCAGAACGGCACCAGTCCCCAACGCAACCTGGTTACGACACGGCGCCCCGTCTCATCGAGCCGGCACGCTGAGAAGTCCTGCGTCGGCGCACCGTTGTAGCGCGGCGGCAAATCCAGCGGCAGGGTCGGTTGCATCACACCGTACAGGTCGTGCATTTCGCCTTCGGTCAGTTGCTGGGTGAAGCGACCGCACATGGTTCTTCCTTGTTCTCAGAAGCCGTACTTCAGCCGTCTCGTCTCAAAGGCGTCTTTGCCGCCCTCGAGAATGTCCTCCACCAATGCACGCACCAGTTGGGTATCAATGGACCCCAGGTGCTCCGGCGCGATGCGCCCCTGTCCGCCGCCGGACTCACCCGAGGCCGTCAGCCCGAGAATCAGCTCGGCGTCACCGAGCACCGGAATGTTGGCGTTGTGGGTCGAGAAAATGAACTGCCGGCGCTGCTTTTCCTCACGCATCCGGGGCACGATGCCCTCGGTAATGGAGCGGTTGTCGAGGTCGCCCTCGGGCTGATCCACAATCAGCGGCGCGTCGGATTCGAGCAGCAGGAGCAGCAGCACCGCGTTGGCCTTCTGGCCGATCGAGAGCGCGTCGAGCGCCTGCCACGACGGCGCTGCACCGGGCGGCGCGGTGTTGAGCCGGATGGTCGTTGTGGGCGGCAGTTCCAGTTCCTCAATGCGCAGGGCGATGTCCGGCCCGGCCTCGGCGATGTTTCGCGCCTGGCTCCGGGTCAGGCCGTAGGCGTCGATCAAGGCGTCGGCGCCGTCGCGGCAGGCAGCAGCCAGATCGACCAGGGACATCGTGTCCAGACCCGCCAGTTTTTCAACCGTGCTCTTGAGATTGCCGCCGATCCGGTTGCGCAGCAGCGCGGCCAGCGGTTCTCGATTCCCCGCGGCCGTGACCTCCACCTGAACGCGGCCGGTCAGCCTGCCGCTGACGTTCTGGGCGGCCCGGTCGAGGGCGCGGAACTCTTCGGCCTTGACGTCCTCCCACTCGGCCAGCAGCGCCCGGCGGCGATTCAGGTATTCGCTTTCCTGTTGCTGCAGCAGGGACTGGCGATCCTGCAGCGGGCGCAACCCTTCAATCTCCCCACGCAGACGGATGAACTCCTCGCCGTCCACCGCCGCCTGCTGAAGCTCGCGCAGAATGGCCTCGTACGCGGCCTGCACCTCGAGCCGGTGCCTGTCCCAGTGGGAACGCACCTCAGCGACGCCGTTGTCGGCGCGCGCCAGGGCTTCGTCCAATTGACGCACGATGGATTGGAGGTCGCTGGTCAGACGCTCCAGCACGCGGTCCGCACCGCCAAGGATATCCCGGCCCGGCAGGTCCTCAAGCGCTTCGGGCGACAGGAACACGCGATTGAGGGGAAGTTCCTGCCGCATGGTTTCCAGGCCGTCGCGGAAGGTACGCAGGCGCTCGGGAATGGAGTCCATCACCTGCTCCCCGCGCACCAGCAGGCTGCGCCCGCGCAAGCGGTCCTCAAGCCCAACCTCATGGAAGCGTTCGAGGGTTTCTTCCAGGCTGGGCAGGGCCGCCAGCCGCTCTTCGATGTGCCGCAACTCCGCCTGCAGGTCCAACAGGGCTTCCCGCGTTTTTCTGAGGTCGCGGCGAAGGTCCGCCTTGCGCCTGGCCATCGACGGGTCGGACTGGGCAAAGCGGTCGAGCAAGCGGGTGAGCTTCTCGCCGCTGCGGGCGAGTTCCGAAATTTCGTGCTGACCGTACACCTCGACGCGGGGCAGGATGTCCCTGGGCAGCAGGCTGGAGACCAGGCCGTTTTCATCGCGAATCACGGGCGGGTTGGGAACGGTGCGCTCGATCAGGTATTCGCGCGTCGCCGGGCGATAACAGCGCACGCGCAGCGAGACCTTGGTGCCGCTGCGCAGCACGTGGCGCACGATGCTTTGGTGGGCCTTGCCCGCCTCTTCGCCGACGGGGTCCAGGGCCAGCACGTAGCGCAGGCTTTCGATGATCGTTGACTTGCCGGCGCCGTGGCCGCCGACCAGGACGTTGAGGTTGGGGTTCAGCGAGATGCTGGCGCCGTCCAGAAAGCCCCCCTCCCACGCAAGGCTCATCAATTCGGTGTGCGCCTCGGCCTCCGATTCGCCGTCCTGACGATTGAGGCGGATGCGCGAGTCCGGGTCCAGAAACGCCTGCCGCAAGCCCTCGATGCTCACCTCGGACATCTTGATGCGGCAGGTAGCGTCGGGGTGTTCGAGGTCCGCAGCGATCGTAACGTCTTTTGCGTTGACCACGGCCACCGCCTGCTTGTCGCCCGCGGGGTGGACGCGCCGGTAATCCGCATTCCGGTTTTCGAGGATACGGCGCGTGTCTTCAGGAAGCTCCTCGATGGCCCCGGGAATGCGAACGGCGAGCAGGTCCTCGCTGCGCCACGCCTGGGTCGACAGGCTGTCGAACAGGCCGCCGTCGGGCGTCGCATGTGCGGCAATCGCGACGCCGCCCTGTACGCGAAGCCTCGTCAGCACGTTCTCGAACGGCATGCTTGACGGGTCAGAGGAAGGCGCGGAAGAGTCAATTCCGAGCTGGCCGAGGAACCGTTCGAGTTGTCCCTCGTCAGCATCCGGTGGGTAGATGCAAAGGACGTGAATGCCCTCGGCGGACGTCAACTCAAAGCCGGGAAACAGGGTGATGCCCTGGCCCGCAGCCGCGGTGCGGAAGGCCGCTATGCCGCTGGGACCGGAAACGACAAGCACGGATACGCCGAGTTCGACGGCCTTGGCTACGATCGCCGCGGCGCGGGACGGCGCGTCGCCGTCGGGATGCGGATTCACTTGCAAGGCGCAGCGATGAAACACCGCGCCGGCTGGCTGCAACGTAGTCATTGTGATCGGCTTTGTGGCGTTCATGTCATGTCTCCTGGGAACGTCAGTTCGCAATGGCATTCTTGTATTCGGAGTTCTTTTCCGATAGATAAAGGGAATTCTGACCGCTCGTCAAGAACGGAAAGGGTGTGGTGCAAAACCGACGGAGGTTTCAAGAAAGAGATGAAATTCAATGTGACGGTTGACCGCGATGAAGATGGTATGTGGATTGTGGAATGCCCCGCAATTCCGGGCTGCGTCAGTCAGGGAACGACCAAAGCCCAGGCGTTGGACAACATAAAAGAAGCCATTACACTCTGCCTTGAGGTACGCGCAGAAAAAGGCCTTCCCTGATGAGTTCTTGTCAGGCACAAGTACCAACTGACGCCGAAGTGGGATTTCTCACTCAATAACTGTTCCCAGGCCGCTTATGAAAACGACACGCTATTTCGAGGAGCAAGTACGCCGCAAGCGGCCCTACATTGATCCGGCATGGTGCGTTCGGGTCATAACCACACCGCTCCGTCGAGAAGCGCAGCCGGACGGCCGCGTCCGATTCTGGGGTGAGATCACCCTTCCTGGCGCAACCGGTCCCCGTTTCCTCCGAGTCGTGACGCTGGCCGACGGTGAGACGATTCACAACGCTTTCTTCGATCGACGCTTCCGAAAGGAAAATCCATGAAGCTGCATTATTATCCGGAAACGGACAGCCTCTATGTCGAGCTCAAGGCCGGGCCGGGCGCGGAGACCCGCGAGGTCTCGGACGGCCTCAATGTCGACCTTGATGCCGACGGCGAGGTGGTCGGCTTCGACATCGACCATGCGTCCAGACGCTTCGACCTGACGACACTGGAAACCGAGGCCCTTCCCGTTCGTTCCACCAGGGTTGGCTGATACATGGCACCGATTCAGGAAGGCGATTTCCGCATACCTGGAGGGACGGCGAAATACACGGCTGTGGAGCGGCTGTATTGAGGAAGCTCCCGGCGTGAACTGCCAGGAACGTACCCATGCGGAGTTGCAGCAAAGCGTCGCTGCAACACTTTCCGAGGCACTGGCTGCGATGGGCGACTACCAAGGAGCAAGCCGTCATTGCATGGAACGAGTGGGACTGTTGAAGCGCTTGTGATTTTCCTCTCGCTAACGCCAAGCTTCATGTGCCAGCGGGCTCTGATTCAACTCATCTCGATAAACGCGCCACTGCGGCATGAGTCTGTCCATCAGTTGTCGAAACCGATCGGTATGATGACGCTCAATCAGGTGGACCATCTCATGCACCAGGATGTACTCAAGGCACAACACCGGTTTCTTCGCCAATTCAAGATTTAGCCAGATACGGCGGGCATCCGTGTTGCACGTTCCCCAGTGGGTTTTCATCTTCTTGATGCGCACTTCAGTACCCCGCGTTCCAACCCTCGGTTCCCATTTTGCAAGAAGCGCCGGCAGACGGCTTCGGAGCCGGTGGCGATACCATCGGTAAAGCACAGCCTCCCGCTTGTCGCGGTTGGTATCAGGACGAACGGTTAAACGCTAACGTCGTATTGTTAAGCAGACGAACAGTTGGCGGGCCATCGTGTTCGGTTACGCCAAGCCGGTAGCGCCGGCCTTCAACGTAATGACTCTCACCGGTGACGAACTTTCGCTGAGACTGGCGAGCCTGTTGCTCGAACCCGGCCTGTTTACGGCGAATCCATCCCAGGCGCGAAATAACGGCCAGACGCACGGCACCTTCATCAAGGCGCAACGGCGCGGCCACCCGCACCCGACCGCTTGGCGGATAGACACCCACGTGGAGGTTCTTGATGTCCCTGTGGACGACCTCCACGGTTGTACCTCGCACGTCGATTTGGCGGCCTCTATCCTCAATAGTCACGCTGTGCCTTCACGATTTCGAATATCGTACTCACCAAGCCCTCGTCGTCGCCGAGCACTGACTTGACGGCGTTACGAACCTCGCGTTCCTTGAATCTGTTTCCGCGCCAGTCCGCCTTTTTCACGTGACGGATGGCGTGGTCAGGGCAAGGACCCGCTCTTCCTTGGGGTCGAAATTCGGTGTGTCGCCATATGGTGTCATGGGGTCGCGCACGACCGAAACTTCCGGCTCTTCCAGATTGTCGTAAAGCGCCCGCAGGGCACCGTTGTGGATGCTCGCAGGATAGGATGCTTGGGTCTCCGGCCTACTGACCGTCCCGGTCAACTCGACGATCTTGGCCAGGTAGGCCTTGTAGTCCATGGCTTCCTGCTTGCGCTGGCGGATCAACACGTCCAGCAATGCCGACATTTTTTCGTAGTACTTGGGGTTGACCGGCATTTCGTCGATGATGAGCCGCCGCACGTTGTTCTCAATCGTCTCGGCCACCGCTTCGGGGCTCTTGCGGGTGCCCTCGGGTAGTGCATCGATCGCTGCTTCGCCGCGCTCAACGATCAACTGTATCAGCGTCAAGTCGTCGAAAGCAGAGAGTTGCGCGCTCTCTTCGGCCCGAATGTACGTGTCGAGCAGATGCCGCATGGCCGGTTCATACATTTTCAAGTCGATGTAATCGCCGCTGGCGAGCTTGACCTCCTGGCGCACCTTTTCATAGTGGTCCACCTCGGCCTTGATCTGCTGCGCTTCGGCGTCGGAATAGCCAGCCTGGCGCATCTCGTTCGCCAAATTGGCATAAGCTCGCAGGTAGGCCGCGGCCAACCGATAGAGGGTCACGCGCTTCGGTTCGTTGGCCTTTAGCTGCTCGGCATTGCCGCTCTCGGCGGCGCAGAAGAAACGCAGGTAGGCCGCGGTATCGCGCGGCGGCTCGACCGGTTCGCACAGCGCCTTTATCGCCTCGCGCGCTTCCTCCAGCCGCTCCCGGCCCTGCGCCAGCCGGTCCTTCAGCAAACCCTCCACGTCGGCCTTGTCGTAGCCGTCGAAAGCCTCGCCAGTGTAGTCCTTGACAGACTGCTCCAATGACCGGAACAGGTCCTTGTAGTCGATGACGTACCCATATTCCTTGTCCTCGCCGTCGAGGCGGTTGACCCGGCAGATAGCCTGGAACAGGCCATGGTCCTGCATCGGCTTGTCGATGTAGAGATAGGTCGCCGGCGGCGCGTCAAAGCCTGTCAGCAGTTTGTCCACGACGATCAGGAGCTTCATCTGTCCCGGCTCCTTAATGAAGCGTTTCTTGACCTCCTGCTCGAACTGCTCCACCTTGCGCATGGCTAGGTCTTCCGGCTCGTTGAAGTGCGCCGCAAGCATTCTTCGGTAGATGTCGTACTGGCGCAGCCTTTCGGTCAGCCCCTCGCTTCCCCCTTCCCCCTTGATGCTCGCCGGGGAGGGCTTGTAAGAAGTCACGATGGCGCATTTGCCCGCCAGATCAGTCTGCTGAAACATCTCAAAGAAGCGGCACGCCGAGTAGATGCTGTCGGAAATCAGCATCGCGTTGCCGTAGCCGCTCTTGAGGCGGTCGTGCGTCGCCATGTCCATCATGATGTCAGCGACGATCTTTTCCAGCCGGTCCCGTGCACTCAGCACTCTTCGCAGCGTGCCCCACCGTTGCTTGAGCTGGGCCTTTGCCACGTCGGTCAGTCCTTGGGTCTTGAGCTCGAACCACTGGTCGACCTTGGCCGGTGAGGTCAGGTTCTGGTCAATATCGCGTGCCTCGTAGCGCAGGTCCAGCACCACTCCGTCATTCACCGCCTCGTCGTACTTGTAGGTGTGGATGTACGGCCCAAAGGTCTCAATGCTCCGACGCTTGTCATCCTTGAGGAGTGGTGTTCCAGTGAAACCGACCAGCGTCGCCCGCGGCAGTAGGGCTTTCATCGCATCATGGAGCTTGCCGGATTGCGTGCGGTGGCATTCGTCCACGAAGACGAATATCTCGCCCTTGGCGCGGAACCCCTTGGGCAGGCTTTTCTTGATTTCCTCGACGTAGGTTTCGATGTCCTTTTCACTTATCTCTTCCGAGGTACCGAATTTGTGGATCAGCGAACCGACCAGCCATTCCTCGCCGGTGTTCAGCGCTTGCACCAGATCGGCGCCGCTGGCGGTGCGGTAGATATCCTCGCTGACGCCCTTGAAGACCTTCTCGATTTGCTCGTCCAGTTCGGTCCGGTCGGTGACGATCAGCACCCGCCCGTCGGCCACGTGCTCGCGAATCCACTTCGCCAGCCAGACCATGCTCAGGCTCTTGCCGCTTCCCTGGGTATGCCAGATGATGCCGCCTTCGCGGCGCTGCACACACGCTTGCGCCGCCCGCACCCCGAAGTACTGGTTATGGCGGCAAATCTTCTTGACGCCGGCGTCGAAAACGACGAAATCGTGCACGACTTCTAGCAGCCGCTCCTTGCCGCACAGTTGGCCCAGTTCCCGCAGCAGCGGGTTATCCCCCGCGGCTGGGTGGGCTTCGGCTTCCTTCCAACGCAACCAGTACTTCTCCCGCGTTTCAATCACGCCGTAGCGCAGCCCCTCGGTGTCGTTGCCCGCCATCACGAGCTGCACCGTGGTAAAAAACGGCTGGATGAACGTCTTCTTCTGGTTGTCGAGATTCTGGCGGATACCCTCGCTCACCGATACCGTAGAACGCTTCAACTCCAGCACGCCCAGGGCGAGGCCGTTGACGTAGAGCACGAGGTCGGGCCGCTTGGTATTCTGCTCGGCAACCGTCACCTCTTCGGCGAGGGCGAAGTCGTTATTGTCGGGGTTTGCCCAGTCGATCAGCCAGACAGTCACGTTCTGCTCGCCTGCGTCCGGCTGCACCTTCACGCCGTAGCGGAGCAGGCCATAGACCTCGCGATTGGCGTCGTAGAGGGTCTTGCTGCCGCCGAGTGCCGCGGCCTTACCGAGTTCAAACAGCACTTTGGCGATGATCCTGTTGCTGTGGCCCTGGCGCGTCAGCCAGTCGGTAAGCAACGTTTTCTCGACGTTGCTGTTGCCGTCGCGATCTTTCCAGTCACCGAGGTAGGCGTAGCCAAGCGCCGCCTGGAAGAACGCCACCACCCGTCGCTGCGTGCGGATTTCCCGTTCGCCGACCGTGCTCATGGCTTCACGTTACCCCGCATCAAAAATGCCACCAGTCCGTTTGGCTGTCGTGTCAGCATCTTCTATGTCTTCACCATTCTACGGGCTTAATTTGCGCGCCATTGCAGCAGGGCATTCGCCAATCCTTCAACCAAAGGCTGAATATCACTTTCCCTTCGGCCGGCCTCCAGCCGGGCAACGACCCGGCAAATATCCGGGGCATTCCAACCAAGGGGTTCGGACAGGCCACGAAGTTTGGTCTTGGCAATCTGTGACGGGCGGTCGGACGCGGAATCGTAGACCGAGGCCAGCCGATTCATCCGCTCGAATAGTTCGGCGGGGTCAATATTCAATTCCCTGG